CAATATGCAGCTGTAGATCTTTCACCATTTGATTCAGGCTTATTGAGGAGATGCTGGATTGTTCCAGATACTGGAGGGAAAGAATACCAGGAGGCTCCTGGATGCCAGTGGGTGGCTGTATCATGCTTCCTGTTTGAATGTTACATTGCCGTGGCTGAACTGCCTGGGAGTAGGGAACTTGTCCACTGAGAAGAGGAGCTGCTAGTGTCTCTGCCTCCTTGCCATTCTCTGCTCTGCCCTTTGTTGGGTCTTGGATGGCAGTTCCACTGCTAGAACAAATTAGGGGAACAGGTTGGGGGAGCACCTCTGCCCCAGCTTGTGCTGCTGATTCCTGAGAGAAGACCTTCCCTTCCTGTGACCCACTTTCATTCTCTACGAGGGGTTAATAATCAATTGGATGTTCCTTTGCCTCAGTGATGGCAGGTGATAGGGAGTAAGAAGACATTCAGGTTGCAGGAGGAGATGGGGAATCAGTAGAAGTCCCCTGGCTTGTAGCAGGTGATAGAGAATGAACGATAGGCACTGAGACTGTGGATGGCGAAGAGCTAGTTGTACCGGGGTCGGCTGTTGGTTTTGCCAGAGAAAAAGCAGAAGGCACCAGGGTTGTAAGATGTGATAGGGTGCAATCAGAAGGCCCCTGATGTTTGGATGAGTCCTGAGAGAACCTGAGCAGACAAAAAAGTACACATATATTGGTTGATTCTTTAATTAGCAGCAGACAGTATGCCTATATAGAAAATTCCTTTTTGTATGACAGGTCCCAATTCCCCCTCCACTGGGGCTATGAACATGTTGGCTGATGGAGTACCTGAATACTAGTTCAAGAGGTAACTTTCCCAAGTATTGTGCTGCAGCACTGCTGTAATGGATCCAGGGTGAGCTCCCAATTCAGAGACAATTGGATGAGTAGGGGTGTTTATGTAGAGCAAGGACCGGCAACCTACGGCCTGTGGGCCGGTTAAGGCCCAGGTCCCCGTACTTACCGGCCCAGGCGGAAGGTCGCCGCCGTGCGCCACCGCCGCGGGGTTTTGGCCGCCGTGTGGCTGCGTGCGCTTCGGCCGCCATTTTGATTTCCAAAATGGCAGCCGCAACTCGTTTGCACATGCACAGTACTCCTGCGCATGCGCAAACGCGTTGCGGCCGCCATTTTGAAAATCAAAATGGCGGCTGCTGCGCGTGTGGAAGCGTCTGCGCAGCAGTGGCAGCGTGTGGGGGGGTCACGTGCGACGGGGGGTGTGCACGCGTGTGCACCGCCATTCCCCCCCTTGGCCCAGCGGCAGACAGGACTTCGCGGGACCGGCCCCCGGCTCAAAAAGATTGCCTACCCCTGATGTAGAGTTTTGAAAGTATATCATTCCTGCTACTCTTTGCTGTTTCTGAAAATTAACGCATTGTATTGTTTGTTGCAAAATGTATTTCATTGCTTAAAACAATACCTTGGGATTCATCGGAGAAAGAGATAAAATGTGAATAATTTCTGAAAACTGCTCTTTAACAGGAACTGAAATTCTTGAAAATGGCCTTAAAAGGTAATTTGAAAAGTAACTTAAATGTTTCTTCATGGAGCAACAATGTAAATTCACATACATTTGTGCTGTTGCTTTTGAAATGCTACTGTATTACATTTGCATTACTCAAAAAGTAACACTACAGATTTCATGTGGATTTTCATATTTCATGTCTAGCATCAGGCATGTTTTTAAAAGTTTCTGATAACCTGAGGAAACTAGGTAAGCGGTCCCAATGTGGGAGTCCCTAAAATAAATACTGAATGAGCTTACACTCCAATCTCCTGGCTCTTTGTATGTCCTCTTGCAATGGAAACTAAGTGTGTCCCATTGCAAAGACAGTTAAAGACCATCACATACCTCACCCCAGACTGTGTTCTTATTTGCCCTTCCTGTCTGACTATCTCGGGGATGTCCCAGATCCAATCACCGTTTTGGTTATTACAAAGTTAAAGGCATGAACCAATTTGACCCCTTTTGTCAATTCCCAAAACCAATCCAGCCATTGTTACACTGTATGGTAGCATCAAATACCCCTTAAGGCTATTAAAGAAGATGTAAATATTAGCCCCAACTCTAGCCCTATGCGTGTACAGAGGGTCCCTCTCACTCACTCTGTCACCCTTAGAGACCGTCTGAGCCACTCTCCATTTTCCATGAACCTATTTCAGAAACGATAATCATTGCCCCTCTAATTCCTGTTATCTCTCACTATCCAGCCTTCCATGCCT